ATCTTCATTAAATGCAACTTTCCGTCCTCGATCAGCGAGCGTATAAAATGGTATTTGACGTCGATGTTCTTCGTTCTGGCATGATATACTGGATTCTTGGCAAGATGTATAGTGCTCTCGCTATCACAATAAAGAACTCCTCTCCCTTGCTTCAGATCCAACTCTTCCAAGCACCCGTTCAACCAGATCATCTCCTTGCTTGCTTCAGTCACCGCGACATACTCAGCCTCGGTTGTAGACAAAGTCACAATCTTCTGCAGACGTGAGACCCAGCTCACTGCTGTCGACGCTAAGGTATAAACATACCCCGTGGTGCTTCGCCTCGTATCATGATCACCGGCGAAGTCCGCATCCACGTATCCCTGCAGCACCAAATCCTTCCTCCTGAAACATAGTGGCTTGTTCATTGTTCCCCTCAAGTACCGCATTATCCACTTCACGGCCTCCCAATGCTGCTTCCCTGGATTGCTTGCAAATCTGCTCACAACTCCCACTGCATGGGCGATGTCCGGCCTCGTGCAAACCATCGCGTACATGATACTCCCAATGGCCGAAGAATATGGCACCCTGCTCATATGCTCTCTATCTGCATCTGTCTTAGGCGATTGCTCCTCAGATAGCTTGAACTGACTTTCAAGGGGTGTGCTAACAACTTTAGCATTTTGCATGTTAAACCTCTGAAGTACCTTCTGAATGTATTCAGCTTGGCTCCCTAGAATGCTGCTTCCCTTCAGCTTCATCCCTGCTGATTCGCATCCCTAGAATCTGCTTCGCTGCACCCAGATCCTTCATTGCAAATTCCTTTGCTAGCTGCCTCTTCAAACTGTTTATCTCTTCTAAACACGGTCCTGCTACCAACATGTCATCAACATATAATAACAAAATAATAAAGCTGGACTCGAACCTTTTGAAATAACAGCAATGATCCGAATTGCATCTTCTGTAGCCATTGTTTTGCATGAAGTTATCAAACTTCTTATACCACTGTCTCGGAGCCTGTTTCAAACCATATAAGCTCTTCTTGAGCTTGCACACCATTTCTTCCTTTCCTTCTTCAATGAAGCCAACAGACTGCTTCATGTAGATTTCTTCATCCAAGTCACCATGAAGAAAGACAGTCTTCACATCTAACTGCTCAAGGAAGAGGTCTTCTGCAGCTACCAAACTCAACACCACTCTGATGGTTGTGAGTTTCACAACAGGGGAAAATATCTCCTTATAGTCCACTCCTTCCCGCTATTGAAACCCTTTCACTACTAATCTGGCCTTAAATCTCTTGCTTCCATCACTCTCTTGCTTGACCCGGTAGACCCATTTATTGTGCAAGGCTTTCTTCTGTGCAGGTAGCTGGGCTAACTCCCATGTCTCATTAGTGAGTATAGAATCCATCTCCTCCTGCATCGCATGCTCCCACTGCTGAGATTCACTCACTTGCACTGCTTCTTCATAACACTCCGGCTCTCCGCTATCTGTTAAGAGTAGATAATCAAGTGACTCAGAACAAACATCATCACCCCTATCTGGAAGTTCCTCTATATCCATGTACTCGGATCCACCTGTATCCGTAGTGCTGCTCCCACTGCTTTGGCTATCCTTGGCATTGTTCCTGTCCTTGTACATCACCTCCTCATTGAATATCACATCCCGGCTCCTGATGATCTTCCTGTTCTTCTCATCCCAAAGGCGATACCCGAACTCATCAATGCCGTATCCAATGAATGTGCACTTCTGTGACTTAGCTTCTAGCTTGTCCCTGACATGGTCACTGATATGAACATAAGCCACGCAACCAAATACCCGCAAGTGTGAGAGATTTATCTTCTTTCCACTCCAAACCTCCTCTGGAATCCCAAAATCTAATGGAACTGATGGCCCGTGATTAATAAGGTATGCTGCCGTATGTACCGCATCCGCCCAAAATGTCTTAGGCAGACCTGCATGTAATCGCATGCTCCGCGCACGCTCTGTCAAGGTCCTGTTCATCCTCTCTGCAATGCCGTTCTGCTGCGGCGTCCCTGGAGTAGTCCTCTCTAAGCGAATCCCATTCGTAGCACAGAACCTCTTGAACTCCTCCAGCTCGTATTCTCCACCATTATCTGATCTTAAGCACTTCACCTTCAGATCTGTCTCGTTCTCGACCATGGCCTTCCACTTCTTGAAGATCTCGAACACCTCTGACTTGTGCTTCATGAAGTAAACCCACACCTTCCTCGAGTGATCGTCGATAAAGGTGACGTAGTATCTCGAACAGCCAAGACACACTGGCTGGGCCCCATACATCTGTATGAATCAACTCTAGCTTCTGAGCCTTAGGTGGCCTTCCACCCTTCTGAAAACTAACTCTCTTCTGCTTCCCAAAGATGCAGTCTTCACAAACCCCGACTTCCATGGTGTCGATCCCGGTTAGCTTTCCTTATGAATGTAGAATTTTCATCCCTTTCTCGCTCATGTGCCCCAGCCTATTGTGTCACAGATCTGTACTCTCCTTGCCAGCTGCAATTGCGAGGGTGTCACTCGCATGTGAAGTGAGGTAGAGAGTTCCTGTTTTATTGCCTCGGGCAACAACCATCGTACCGTTGGAGATTCTCCACGAATCCCCGGTGAATGTCGAAACGTAGCCTTCTGCTCCAAGCTGTCCCACCGAAACAAGATTCCTCTTCAGCTTCGGCACGTGTCTCACGTTCTTCAAGTTCCACTTAGAGCCCTTTATCTGTATCTGAACGTCGCCCTTTCCAACAATATTGCAAGGTTCATTATCCCCCAAGTATACTTTACCAAAGTCCCCTGCTACATAGTTCTGAAGTAGTTTCCTATTTGCAGTGGCGTGGAAAGAAGCTCCTGAGTCGATGACCCAAGAATCAGAATCGCTATCCATAGCAAGGATCAAGGCATCCTGCACGATATGAGCCTCCTGCTCACCCGCATCCTTCTTTGGTGCTTTACAGACCGAAGACATATGGCCCTCCTGGCCGCAGTTCCAACACTTCCCTTTGATAGACCTAACCTTCGAGTTCGGCCTCTTCTTCACTGATTTCGACCGATTCCTGTTCTGGTTCCCTTTCTTCTGGCTTCTGCCTCTCTGCTCGAAACTTAGGGCTGAACCTGAACCTTCTGATTCGGACGATTTCCTTCTAACCTCCTCGGATAGAATCATGCTAACAACCTCATTCAGCTTCAACTTCTCTTTCCCCGCCGAATTGCTGATTGCCGTCACACAACCTGCCCAACTATCCGGCAACTGCGATAGTAGTAGAAGGGCCTGCACTTCGTCATCGAACGTGATGTCCACGGAGATAAGTTGATCAACAATCGTGTTGAACTCGCTGAGGTGCATCGTGAAGGACCGTCCTTCTGCCATCTTGAGGTTGAAAAGAGTTTTGACTAGATGCACCTTGTTTGCTGCCGACGGTTGCTCGTACATCTTCGCGAGCGCTTCCATAAGCCCCACCGTCGTCTTCTCCTTCAGAATATTGTGGGCTACTGATTTGGCGAGCGACAACCGGATTTGCCCTAGAGCCTTCCTATCCAGTACCTCCCAATCACCATCTGACTCCGTCTTCTTCTTTCCCTTTTCCTTGCCCAACAGCGGGCGATACAAGTCCTTCTGGTACAGATAGTCCTCCATCTGCGACTTCCAGTAGGCGAAATCCGATCCATCGAACTTCTCAATCTTTGATTTGCTTTCCTCTGCCATGGCTTTCACACAAATTGCTGAACCTGTCTCTGATACCAGTTGTTGGGGATTCGAAACAATCAATCGAACCCTTGCCCTTCCGGACCTTGTGTTGAATCGAAACAATCAATCGAACCCTTGCCCTTCCGGACCTTGTGTTGAAAGTAGGAAAGTAGGAATAAAACCATAAATAAAGATCTAAACCTTGTGTTGAAAGTAGGAAAGTAGGAATAAAACCATAAATAAAGATCTAACTTGCAAAAAACAGTAAGAGAGATGAACACACAGATTTAATGAGGTTCGGCAACGTGCAACGTGCCTACGTCCTCGGGAGCCACACCACACAATCTTTTTATTAATCGAAGAAGAAAATACAAGCTCTCAAACAAGTGGTTAATCTCTCTGAGATTCTCTCTCTCTTTGCAGTCAAAAAACTCTCTTTTTTATATCTCTCAAACCCTAAAAACGTTTGAGTATTTATAACAAACCCCAGCCAAACAGGATTCCTAAATAAAATAGGAAACATCGAATCTGCGTCGCGGTCGACCGCTTTACCAAAGTCGGTCGACCGGTCAGAACGACGAAATCCTACAGGGTCTTGTGCACGATCTCGGTCGACCGCAACGGCCACGCCGGCCGACCGGCCAGAGCGAAAGTTTCTACTTAGTTTCCTGCAGTGCACGCGGTCGACCGGATCTGCCACTGCTGTCGACCGCACAGTCTTCTGACTGTTTTCTTCGTCTTTTTGATTGCAGCTTCGGGTCTACACACTTAGACTAACAGAATGAGCAGCAAATTACCAACTTGATAAAGATAAATGAATTCAGTAGTTGAAACGGCAAACAAGAAGCAAGTTCGTGGAGACAAAAGGTAGAAGGGAAAAACATATCACTTCTTTTTTCACAAAGATTTACAGGTTGGCATGATGCTTTTATTACTTTGTCCACGTCATCCACTCAATAATCATCAGTAATGTATAGGAACTAAAACTGCACATCTACAATCCTCACCAAATGCTAGATGGGGTCACTGCAAATAGGCTGCAGTGCTGTCAACAGATTACATTGTCCCTTCACAGAGAAAAGAAGGCTACAACAGTCCTCAATAAATGAATGAATTGGTATTGACACGTATTATACATAACTACAAATATAAATGCAGTAGGAGTACTAACGTTGATGTAACATGTGATCCCTCTAACAACGAATGAATGTGAGTGAGAGAAGCCAAAGAGACAAATCAAGGAAGCAATCATTATCAAACCAAACCAAACACCCATAATCTTGCAGCTTATATACATAGTCAAATCAAGTCCAATCAAATCAGAGGATCAAAATCAGAGCAAAAATAATAGAAAGCCCACTTCAAATCCACTTTCAGATTTCACTGATACCATTGAAACACCAAGAGTGAAATGACCACCACTTCTCTCTCAGCAAAAACTGAAAAGGATACAACCCTTTTCACAGACTGAGACCGCCACCACCCGAAAAAATAAAAAAGAAAAAGAAAAAGAAAAAGAAAAAAGAAAAAGAAAAGAAAAGAAAAAGATCACAAGCCCTCTTTTAGTAAGAGAGCCACAGTGAGAGAGAACAAAACCCATTGATTCTTCTTATCTCTTCCTCTTTAATTTGATTGCTTTGCTTGTTCATCCATAGACCCATTTTGTCTTGACTGAAAGTATTTACAGATATGTTTGGTACTGTTTGATTTGGTTTTGTTGTATAATGGGTCTCTTCCATTGAGGTTGGTTGTAATTTTGGAGCTTGATGTCTCTCTTTAAGCTCTCATAGCAGTTTTCTTTTCTTTTCTTCAAAATTCTTCATTTTCCCGGTTGGCTTTTTTTGGTAGTTTATTTCTGCTGTTGTTGTTACTGTAGGTTGGAAGACATAGTCACGAGTTCTTCTATTTTTCCAAGTGACCCATCAATGGACAACACCGGCAGAATGCATTAAGGTAAATTTTATAAATGTACCTCAAGTGCTTGTTTATTTCTCTCGAAGGGATTGGGAAAGTATCTGTAAACTGGGGGTTTTTTTTTTACTTCCTAAAGTTAGTTTAATCATGAGCAACACAGACAGAATTTTTCCATTAATTTCTTAGTGCTCTCAGTTTCTGACGGGACCTAGCTAATCGAACATTTTTTATGGGTAGATGAACAGCAGAAGACAAAATCTCTGCTTATTATTATTAGTTTTTTTATCTTTCTGCTCTTACTCTCATGCTGATGCTGGCGATTTGCATTTTTGCTTGATTAGTTCTTTAATAACATTCACTCTTTGATGGGTAACAACAATGCATAATCACCCATTTGTTTCTCAAAGTAATTGCTCATTGATAACTGAATGGAAATGTATTGCCATTATTTCGATCTTCGGAGGAATTAAGGCCTGTGTGCAAACGTGCTAGTCGTCATCTACCTTGTTTCTCCTACTTATTTGGCAATGGTTTCTGAAGATTTCTCAAAGCAATCAACCTCAACTTTTCAGGGCCAAGGTGTTATCTCTAATGTAGATACTAGCTCTATTCATGCTCAAAACCTGAGCTATGATCAACCATTTCAACCAAATAACGTTCCCATTTTCTTTAATTCATCAAGGGAACAGATCTCTAGGCCAGATGATACTGGAATGCTTCTAAGTAGTTTCAGTAATCATGAAGCTCGAAAAGATAATACTCAACCGAGCGTTAGCTATGGAAATGGACATGGGCTTTCACTAACTCTTTGTTCTCGTCGGCTGACTAAATTTCAACGTGAAAGGAACTCCAACTATTCAAGTAATGACTGCATGATTTGTGAACGCGAAGCGAATTGCTCTCATCATAATTTACATGGCATGACATCTCTACTTGCCATTCAGAACTCTCCGTATCTTAAACCAGCCCAGCAGTTGTTAGATGAAGTTATCTGTGTAAGCAATGCAGTTGAGCCCAGTTCTGAGAATCAAGTGAGGTCTCTTCAGATTGATAAAATGGAAGAAAGCATCAATCGACATGAAGGAAACCACTTCTCATCAGACGAGAACGATGCTGTCCATATCAGAATCAGCAAACTTGTTGCTTTATTGGTTCAGGTATATTCCAGATTTGATATAATAGTGTGTCATCTATATTAGATTATATACTGACTATTGGTAGCTTGCTCTGGCTAGAATTATGCTTTATAGCAGAATATAATTGTTCTAGCTGATATTTGGCATTCAAAACCGATAACACGCGTGTTCCATGAAATAGCGAACAGTTTTGATTGAATATATATTCTTATGAAAAATAATCCTTTCAGCCTGTGTTTTGACCCCATTTTTTTACTAGTGTCAGCAAGCTTGCTTTTCTTGACACAAATGGAATGGCATAAAATTCACCATGGGAAATCCTTATAGTGGATATTTAATTGCTAAAGGTCACGGAATACATATGACCCAATTTTGGTGTGTTTGGATAGAGGGTAGAGGAGGGGAAGTTAGAGAACTAAAATCTTACCCCCAAATTGGGGGTTAAAGGAGGGTAAGGGAAGGGAAGGAAAAGTTTAACCTTCCTTCCCTTCCCTTCCCTTACTAATCTCGCAAACAGGCCAAAAAGGAGAAATCCTTTTTTGAGGGTTGTGTCCAATTGTATTAGTTTGAGACTGAAATTCTATTTTTCTTTTTTATTTCTCATTGTCTTTTTTAACAGAGTGCTTGTGAGCTTGATTTGAATCACAACATCAACAATCTCTACCTTGCCTCAGTTGTGCGCAACGGAAATTTCGGCAGAGTTTCTGGTGCACAATAAGAGAGAAAGATCAATAAGAATTCCCGTCTCACCAAAGAAATAAGAATCTGAAGCGAATATCTCAACAAAGTGAGATATCAGCTCTTTCTCTCATCAGTTCTAGAACTGACTTGTCGAGGGATCCTAAAAACTATTACAATGATCACAAACACAAACAAACCAATTTTACGTGGTTCGGCAAACTGCCTACGTCCACGGGGCAAGGAGGGGGAGATCAACTATTAGAGAAAAATAATACAAATGGGTTTACAACTCTCACAAATTAAAACCCTCAAATAGGCTCTTTGCTTTTCTTCTCAAGAAACGGTCAGCCTTCAAATAATTTTTCTCTCTTCACGAAGCCTCTGTCTTCTGCCGCTGCACCCTCACTTTTGTACAGTAGCAGAAAAAACTTCCCTATTGCACAGCCGCCAAAGCCTAGCACACTGTCCTTGCACTCTCTTTTTCTCTGGCCGCCTGCACACCTTTTTCACGAAGCCACCCTCTGCCTTTCTCTCCGAAACCCTAGGGACTCTTAGCTATTATTTATAGCAATTGTTTATTGGGTCTTCGGGTGGGCTGGTTTCGTTCAGGAAACGAAAGCTAAACGTGTGGCCCCCACGCATTGTTCTGCTTCGCATTGAGAACGTGCACGTGGTCCCCACACCTCATGTTCACAATTCTCTACCTCAGTGAAGTTTTCCCAAAACTGGGCCGACACCAACCAAACCAAATGCCTCACTTGTTGCGTACAGTACTGTACGCAATTCACAACAAGTTGAGACCCAAACAAGAGTGCGAATACTCTCCCAAACATCGATGTCTACTCACCAAATCGGTCTCACCCCATCAAATAATCCAACCTGGCTACATCATAAGACTGTCTATGTATTCTCTTGCCCAAGGAATCAAGCCGAACGTAGTTCACCCAAATGGCCGCGAACGACCTTAATCCAATAGAAGAGTTCGCAATCATTCTCCAATATCATCAACTCTGCACCTGATAGAACTCCAAATGGCCCCAAAGTGTAACGAATCAAACACTTCCACCTGAGGTGAACCAATGGCCATATCCAAACTACATCTATCAGCTGCACCCGAATCAAAATCTAACTTATCATCTGCATACAAAACCAAATGATCTCTAAACCGTGTCACCTCAGCTGGAATCCCAAACGATGTAGAATAACCTAGAGTATGTGGGAAAATCCCCACCCAATGTGGAGTAGCATCAATCTTCACTTGCTACGATACAACTAAGGTCTGTCCAAAACTCTCCACCTGCTGAGAGTCAATTGGTTTCCTCATCGAAGCCTCATCCAAAGTGACACAATCAGACCTATCTTCCAATAGAGTTTTACCTCTAACCACAGCAGTTGACAACTCTTTAATAGGATGACTCAAATATATCGAAGCCTCAGTCCAGAACCTCTTCTGCAAACCATTGTTCGACCACAAACACCGATCCTCATCTAGCAAGGCACGGTTCTCCAAATTTGTCACCCTATCTAGTTACCCCAAGATTTTCTTTCTAACGAAGTGTCTCGAAATACCGTGAGCTCGGTTCTAATACAGAAATAGGTCCATCTTGTACCTCCTACTAGAATGGAGTACCTTTACCTTTCTGCTAATCATACACTTCTTCAAACTGTTAGAGACTACTAGGACTTTATCCATAGGGGATTTGGTTGTAACCCAAACATGCCTAGAACAGCCACCAACAAAGGAAACCAAACTTCTATTACCTCCTAATGATGCCCCCTTGGAAGGCCCCCAAATATCCACGTGAACTCCTCCAGAATGACCCTTAGCACGGTGAATAGATGTGCCAAACTTCACCTCGGTCTTCTTGCTCACATCAACATGTTCACTGGACTTCAAACTGCAGGTCTTCGCACCCTCTTTTAATCTATGTGAGGAATCAATACTGGAATGGCCAAGCCCCAAATATCGCAGTCTAGTCGAATCAATAGAAGTCGTCAGTTCTCCACCTGCCACTATACCTCTAGTCAAGTAATACAGGTTATTTTTCCTGACGCCCTTCATCACAATCTGAGAGTCTTCCATAATCTTGAGAACCATGTCCTCAATTCGAATATTCAGACCCTCTCCAACCAAAGCTCCAATCGAGATCAAGTTCTTCCTCAAAGAAGGAACATATCTCACATCATTTAACTTCCTAACAGTCCCGTCAAACATCTTGATACGAATTCTTCCTATCCCAAGGATCTGATATGTACGGTTATCAGCCATGTATACCACACAACTATCCAGTTTCTCAAAACTGAAAAACCATTCCCTTCTAGGGCACACATGATAGGTCACACCACTATCCAACATCCACTCGGATTCCTTCGAATAGCTACATGTAGGACTGGTAGAAAGCGAATAAATAGAAGAGTCAGAAATATTACCATCCGATGCGATGTTTGCTTCTGATGATGGTTGCTTTCCTTTTCCCTTCTGCTTATTCTTCATCTATTCATCGAGCTTTGGACAGTCTTTCTTCTAATGACCAGTCTTCTTGTACCAAGCACACTGATCTTTTCTAATTATAGGATGTCCTACTCTAGACTGTGACTTCCAATTCTTTCGGTTTGGACCCTTCCCTCTTACGGCCAACACCTCTGGTACCGACTCAGTCGAAGTCTCCTTATCCTTCTTCCGAAGCTGATAATTCACCAGTGCAGTAGTGACCTCCCTTATCCTTCTTCCGAAGCTGATAATTCACCAGTGCAGTAGTGACCTCACTATACGAAAGAGATGCCTTCCCATTAATCAGAGTAAGGACGAATGTCTCATATTCCTCGTCGGGCAAGGAACTCAACAACAACAACGCCTTGTCCTCATCTTCAATCATGACATCCACATTCGCCAATTCCGCAAGAAGCTTTGTGTAGGTGTTCATATGATCTCTAATTGAGGTTCCCTTCTTCAACTGGAAACGATAAAGTCTCCTCTTCAAATGCAAGCGGTTCTTAATACTCTTTGTCAGATACCTGCTTTCGAGAATCTCCCAAATCTTCTTTGTAGAAGTCTCATTTATCACATCATATTTTAGATCTTGAGTCAAACAAGACCTAATCACACCACACGCCGTTCGATTTATCTTCTTCTAAACATTTTCTTCAATGTTATCTGGCTGGCTATCTAACTCTAATGTATCCTCCAAATTCTACGTGTTCAGCGCGTCCAAAACCTCGCATCTTCATAATATAAAATTGTTTATGCAATTAAACTTCTCCACATCTATCTTCATAGAGTGGATATTCAAACTCTGAATGGTCTTCATGCCAAAAGCACCACCCTCGACACCCGAAGCACCTTCTTTCCCCGACATCTTTCTCAACCCACCAACGAACGAAGAATAGATCTAAAACTAAAAAGATAGAGTCTTTTACCAAAAGATCCCACCTTTATCACCAAACAAAGGCCTAGACGAGCTTTCAAATCGATCTACTCCTCCAAATAGCCCAAGCGTAGCCCGAGCTCTGATACCACTTGTTGTGCGCAACGAAAATTTCGGCAAAGTTTCTGGTGCACAATAAGAGAGAAAGATCAATAAGAATTCCCGTCTCACCAAAGAAACAAGAATCTGAAGTGAATATCTCAATAAAGTGAGATATCGGCTCTTCCTCTCATCAGTTCTAGAACTGACTTGTCGAGGGATCCTAAAAACTATTACAATGGTCACAAACACAAACAAACCAATTTTACGTGGTTCGGCAAACTGCCTACGTCCACGGGGCAAGGAGGGGGAGATCTACTATTGGAGAAAAATAATACAAATGAGTTTACAACTCTCACAAATTAAAACCATTAATTAGGCCCCTTGCTTTTCTTCTCAAGAAAAGGTCAGCCTTCAAATAATTTTTCTCTCTTCACGAAGCCTCTGTCTTCTGCCGCTGCACCCTCACTTTTGCATAGCAGCAGAAAAAACTTCCCTGTTGCACAGCCGCCAAAGCCTAGCACACTGTCCTTGCACTCGCTTTTTCTCTGGCCGCCTGCACACCTTTTTCACGAAGCCACCCTCTGCCTTTCTCTCCGAAACCCTAGGGACTCTTAGCTATTATTTATAGCAATTGTTTATTGGGTCTTCGGGTGGGTTGGTTTCGTTCAGGAAACGAAAGCTAAACGTGTAGCCCCCACGTATTGTTCTGCTCCGCATTGAGAACGTGCACGTGGTCCCCACACCTCATGTTCACAGCCTCAGTTCACAACAAACTCTTAACAATAAAATTTGTAGTATAGAGATCAACTGTCCTAGCTTCCATCTTTAATTGTGTTCCATTATGCATTTGTGAATAGATTATGAAACTTATCT